GCCCCGCCGCCGTGGTGGACAGGGTCGCAGCCGCAGGCCATGCCCGCGAGTCACCGCTGTCCGTGTCGCGTTGTAGGCTAAAAACGAGCCTGCCGGCAAGAAGCTGGCCGACCGGAAGGAGGGTGACGCGAAGAGGGAGAAGCTGCCTGGCGCCGACAGACACCACCCCGTGGGATCAAGACGGAGAAGTAAAGTGGCCACTCGGGCTTCCGGGGCGCGGGGAGGGCAGCGCTGCCGGGCCGGCTCGGCTTCCCCCACCTCGGCACCCTCCCGGGTGCACGCAGCTCTCGTTTTCCCGTTTCGGCGGCTGTGGGAAGCTGGGCTTGTGTGGGCCCCGACACGGCTGCGGTGGCCCTGCGCTGGGTGCGCCTCGGATCGTGCGTGGGCGCAGCAGTCTGAGGGCTCTCTATAGCGGGGATTTCTGTCTCGCGTGAACCGTCAGCGGGCGGGATCTCTGAGCCGTGGCGCGGGCACGGGCCAGGGTGGGTGGCGGAGGGCAGGCCGGGAGCCGGCAGCATCGCTGGCTTCCTCCCCCGCCTCCCCGGCACTGCGGGAGCCGGCGGCCCGGCCGATCTGGCAGCGTCGTGGTGGTTCTGTTTTGCTCCTGGTTTTTGTGTAAGATTGACGTTGTGCAGGCAGACCAGCAGGAAAGGGAGGAGCGGGGAGAGCTCTCTGCTGGGCGGAGCTCCCCCATGTCCCGTGTGCGTGGCGGGGCCCACGGCCTCGAGCAGCACCTGCGCCCTCCGGAGGATGCTGGCACCCCAAGCAGGGTGGCAGCTGCCGGGCGGGGGGCCGAGAGCAGCGCTTCCCTGTTCTCGCTGTGGCCATGCTCGGGCAGAGCCCCAGGAGGAGCGAGCGCGCAGTGGGCCTTCGTGCGCCCGGGGGTGAGACCCTGTTCGGGGAGCAGCCTCTCAGAGCTGATGAGCCGGCCCCGTCTGCGGGGAGCATGGGCTGCGGCGGGCACGTGGCGTGCGCTGGCTCCCGGCTGAGCACAGTGAGGCGGGGGTGGGGGGGGTGAGCTTTGTGTGGAGCAGGAAGTGGTGCAGAGCGTGCGGGCGCCTGGCCCTGTGTGCGCCGGTGCTGGCTCCTGGGGGTTTGTGTGGGGGGGTAAGCGTTTAGGACCCAGCCACATACAGCTGGATGCTCTGACATTGCCCCCTCCTCCTTCCTCTCCCACCTCTGGGCGAGTAAACACCCTCGCCCACCTCTGCTCGCACCTTAAGGATTCTGCGAGTCAGCTGTCCACTTCTTTCCAAACAAGCAACTTTTTTTTTTTTTTTAAGATTTATTGATTTGAAAGAGGCAGAGTTACACAGAGGAGAGGCAGAGAGAGAGGTCTTCCTTCTGCTGGTTCACTCCCCAGATGGCCACAACGGCCAGAGTTGTGCCGATCTGAAGCCAGGAGCCAGGGGCTTCTTCTGGTCTCCCATGGGGTGCAGCCAAGCACTTGGGCCATCCTCCACTGTTTTCCCAGGCCACAGCAGAGAGCTGGCCTGGAAGAGGAGCAGCCGGGACTCAAACCAGCGCCCATAGGGGATGCCGGTACTGTAGGCAGCGGCTTTACCTGCTACACCACAGCACCAGCCCCTTATTTATTTTTATTTAATTTTTATCTGCAAGGCAGAGTACAGAGAAAGAGATCTTCCGTCGCTGGTTCGCTCCCCACAGCCAGGGCTAAGCCAGGCTGACCCCAGGAGCTAGAAACTCCATCTGCGGCTCTCCCACGTGGGTGGCAGGAGTCCACGCACCGAGCCCTCACCGCTGTCTGCAGGCCTGTTAGCAGGGAGCTGGCTGCGGAGGGGAGGAGCTGGGACCGGGGCTTTAACCCGCTGCACCGCAGCGCCCGCCCCTCCGTGCAGCTCTTGCTGTGTAACCGGCTGAGAGCGCCTTGTCGGTGGGAGCCCCTGGGGCAGCGCACAACCATGGCAGGGCGGGGCAGGGCCGCACCCAGTGCTGCCTCGGGCTGTCCTGAGACGCCTTACCCAACACGCTTCCCCATGGCCCTGGCCGGTTGGGCTGTGCGTGGAAAGCCACAGGAGGTGGCCACCGAAGGGTCGACGGTGAAGTCAGGGCGCGCCGCCATGGGGACGGGGACGAGGACGAGTGTTGGTGACTGCACCTGCGTCTGTGACGTCAGAATATAGAATGGTTGGGGTGGCGCTGCGGCGCAGCGGGTTAAAGCCCCGGCCTGCGCTGCCGGCATCCCATACAGGTGCCTTTCGGCTGCTGCACTTCCCATCCAGCTCCCTGCTAACACGCCTGGGAACCCGCGGAGGCCGGCCCGTGTGGGAGACGGGAAGGAAGCTCCTGGCTCCTTGTGGAGTGAACCAGCAGACGGAGGATCCCGTCTCTGGTCTCTCCCTCTCTGCAACTCTGTTTCAAATGCAATAAGTCTTTAAAGAAAGATGGACTTCGTGGGGAGCTGCTCAGGCCCCCTCAGGGTGCCCGCCGTCCGTTAGTGCGTGTGGGCTTCCGGGGCTTTCCCGACGGTGTCCATTTTTGGGAAACACCTTCGTGCTGGGGAGCGGAGGTGGAAAGAGAGCTGAGGGGTCTGCGGCGCGGCCGGCCTGCCTGCGGCGGCTGGGAGAAGCCGGGAGCCCTCGTCCCACGGGGCCTCCGGCCGCCTTCCCTGGCTCGCGACTGGCGTCTAATAATTGTGCACTTTAATTGCCTGAGACGACAGCTTCAGGGGACGTGGGACGATCTGTGGCTAAGACGATTTGTTCCGTGTTGAAAGTCGCCGTTGGTGGAGGTGATACCGACGGCCCCGTGTTTGCCGTCGCGTGGCACGCTGTTGAAGTCCCCAGAGGCGGGCACGTGCCCGCCTGTCCTCGGACCCTCCATTCTGTGTGCTTTGTCCCCTGTGCGCAGACGCGACCACACGCACTGAGTGTGAACGCACACCACGCTGCCCTCTCCAGGCTGCAGAATAAGTGTTGCCCCGGGTGCGGCCCGTGGGGTGCCGTGGGGACCTCGGTGCCCGCCGTCCCTGTGAGGCCCGCGGCGCGCGTGTGTAACTGTGTTTACACAGAACCTCATTAAGAAGGAGGAGAAAGTTGAGAAAAAAGAGGAAAAGAGGCCGAAGACATCAAGAAAGAAGAGAGAGACCCAGACGAGCTGAAGGCTGGGCCTGCGAACCGCGGCAGGGCCACCAAGTCAGGTGACGAGAGCTCGCTGGGCAGAGCCGCGGGGCGGCGGCGGGGGGGGGAGGCACAGACACGGGCCTGACTCCTGGCGGCAGCGTCTGGAAGTGCTGGGGCGGGCGCCGCAGCCTGCCGCTGGCCTTTCCCCCGTCCTGGGGTTGCAAGGGGGAGACACCTGGCACCTTCCGGGTAACCTGCAGGCGTCTGTAGGTTTTCCTGCGCCGGTCTTGAAAGCTAGAAGTAGTAAAGGATGTAGCTGCGTTGGAGGAATGCCATTTCTCTCATCCTTTGAGGGTATTTGAAAAAAATTACTTATTTGAAAGGCAGGGTTACAGAGAGAAATCTTCCATTGCTGGTTCACTGCCCAGAGAGCCGCAACAGCTGGGGCTGGCCAATTCGAAGGCAGGAGCCAGGAGCCTCTTCCAGTCTCCCGCGTGGGTGCAGGGGCCCAAGCGCTTGGGCCATCTTCTGCTTTCTCAAGCCACAGCAGGGAGCTGGATCAGAAGTGGAGCAGCCAGGACTCGAACCGGCACCCGTGTGGGATGCCGGCATCGCAAATGGCTGCTTTACCCACTACACTACAGTGCTGGCCCCCTAAAAATTTTTACTTATTTGAGGGCAGAAGAGCGCCTACCCTGGCTCCCTCCGAATGTCTGTAAGGCCCAGTGCTGGGCCAAGCCAGGAGTCAGAGCCCAGTCTGTCTGAGTTTGCAGTGCGGGGGCAGGGAACAGATCCTCGGGCCGTCACACCGCCTCCCAGGGTCTGCGTTAGCAGAAAGCTGGGGTCAGGAGCCGGTGGGGGGGGGGGGACTGGAGGCCGAGCGCTCGGCGCGGCACGGGCATCTGAGCCGCGAGTCTCGGTGCCCAGGCTTCTGTCACTGGTTGCTCTCTGCACCATTGAGTTTGTGTGCGACTCAGTGTTTCGTGGCGAAAAACAAACCAGCCCTGCCCGCCCCCCAGGAAGAAGCAGACAAAAGCCAGCCATCTGGAGCATCGAGGCGGCGCCGCGCGCTGCGAGTTAGAACTGAAGTCGGTGGCGTCATTCTCCCGCCATCTCACGAGGAACGTGTTTCTAAATTGTTCCTCAATCTTGTAAATCTCCCCAAATAAGCCATTACTGCAGCGCGGCGCCTGGCTGGCACGTTGTCGGGCGGGAGAGAGGCTGTGGGTGGGTGCGGGGAAGCCCAGAGCGCGGCTCCGCGGAGCTTTGCGGCCTGCCCGGGAAGACACAGCTGGTTCTCCCGGGCTTGGCGGATTAGAATAGGGGCGCAGGCAGGGCGCACTTGTGCACATGGCGGGGGACCCTGCGGCCCCAGGGGACGCCGTCCGTGGGAGCAGGTTGGCGCTGTGGCCCCAGCAGCTGCCCGTGTCAGTGCAGGCTGCCTGGGCAGGAAGCTGGGGCCCCGGCGTGCCGTGGCGGATCCCCGTGTCTCTCCCTGAAGGGAGCAGAGGCCCGGAGCGCACGGTGGTCATGGATAAGTCGAAAGGCGAGCCCGTCATCAGCGTGAAGACCACCAGCAGGTCCAAGGAGAGAGTGAGTGCGCCTGCCGCCCCGGCCTGGCCCGGCCCCAGCGCCCGCCGCTCGCTGCCCTGCGCGTCCGGGGCGCCCTGAGGGTCTTGGGATGGGCCTGTTGAGTGCTCACTGTGGACCTGTCCCGATCTCGCTTCTCTCGCGCTAACAAAGCCACCTTGTGAACAGAACTCCAAGAGTCAGGACCGCAAGTCCGAGAGCAAGGAGAAGAGGGACATCCTGTCGTTCGACAAGATCAAGGAGCAGAGGGAGCGCGAGCGCCAGCGCCAGCGTGAGCGGGAGGTCCGAGAGACCGAGCGGCGCCGGTGAGCTGGGTCCCGCGCAACCCTGGCTGCCGCCGCGGCCTCCCCGCCCCCCGAAGCGGGCTCCGCCGCCTCTCCGAGTCCGCCGTGAAGGAGCCGGCTCGCCGGGGCTGGTCACCTCCACTCCCGCTGTCCCCACCCGGTCCCTGCCACCTCCACCCCCGTGTCCCCACCTGGTCCCTGCCACCTCCACTCCCGTGTCCCCACCTGGTCCCTGCCACCTCCACCCCCATGTCCCCACCTGGTCCCTGTCACCTCCACTCCCGTGTCCCCACCTGGTCCCTGCCACCTCCACCCCCATGTCCCCACCTGATCCCTGCCACCTCCACTCCCGTGTCCCCACCTGGTCCCTGCCACCTCCACCCCCGTGTCCCCACCTGATCCCTGCCACCTCCACTCCCGTGTCCCACCTGGTCCCTGCCACCTCCACTCCCGTGTCCCCACCTGGTCCCTGCCACCTCCACCCCCATGTCCCCACCTGGTCCCTGCCACCTCCACTCCCGTGTCCCCACCTGGTCCCTGCCACCTGCACTCCCGTGTCCCCACCTGGTCCCTGTCACCTGCACTCCCGTGTCCCCACCTGGTCCCTGCCACCTGCACTCCCGTGTCCCCACCTGGTCCCTGCCACCTCCACTCCCGTGTCCCCACCTGGTCCCTGCCACCTCCACTCCCGTGTCCCCACCTGGTCCCTGTCACCTCCACTCCCGTGTCCCCACCTGGTCCCTGCCACCTGCACTCCCGTGTCCCCACCTGGTCCCTGCCACCTGCACTCCCGTGTCCCACCTGGTCCCTGCCACTGCACTCCCGTGTCCCCACCTGGTCCCTGCCACCTGCACTCCCGTGTCCCCACCTGGTCCCTTGTGGTGTTCCGGAGCTTTCCAAGCTATGGTGGGAGATGCTCGTGTCGCCCCTCCCCCTTGGGGTTTCAGGAGTAAGAGCAGTGAGAAGCCTTCTCATGCCTTCTCACGCCTTCCCAGTGCCACCCGAGAACGCGAGGCCCGAAGGTGGCCGTGGGCCTGCTGCACCCTAGAGGCGGTCCGCAGCCCTACCTGGGCCTCGGCCCGCATCCCCGCGTCTTCAGGGGTAGCCGCGTTGCCACGCCTCGGCAGGGTGTGGGCCCGGAGTGTTCGCGATTCAGGTTCTCAAGAGTTCATGGAGGCTAGCCCCCCACCCCCATCCCGCGTGAGATGAGATTTGGAAATCCAGCACACCAGGGTCTGCAGAAGGCCATAAAACTACCCAAATACTCCCTTGTTTGCAGTTGTATTTGAGAGCAGGGGCGCCCCCACCCCGCCCTGGGCGGGGCAGCCAGAGTCGGGGTGCAGACTCCGTGCAGGTCCAGGTCCACGGCTGGGCACCCCAGCTGGCCCTGCGCCCTGGGGCCTCGGAGCGGGTCCCGCGCTCCTCGCTACCCCGCGGGGCAGTCGGAGGTGGGCCGGGCCGGGTGTCTGCACTGCGGTCAAGGCGGCGTGCCGTCCCCGCAGGGAGCGCGAGCAGCGGGAGCGGGAGCAGCGGCTCGAGGCCCTGCACGAGCGCAAGGAGAAGGCGGGCTGCAGCGGGAGCGCCTGCAGCTCCAGTGCCAGCGGCAGCGGCTGGACGCGAGCGCATGGAGCGGGAGCGCTGGAGCGCGAGCGCATGCGCGTGGAGCGCGAGCGCCGGCGCGAGCAGGAGCGCATCCACCGCGAGCGCGAGGAGCTGCGGCGCCAGCAGGAGCAGCTGCGCTACGAGCAGGAGCGGCGGCCCGCGGCGCGGCGGCCCTACGACCTGGACGGCCGGTGGGTGGGGCCCGGTGGGGTGGGGCGGGGCTACGACCTGGACGGCCGGCGGGCGGGAGGGGCGGGGCTAAGACCTGGACAGCCGGGGGCGGGGCGGGGGCGGGACTACGACCTGGACGCCGGCGGGCGGGGCGGGGCCTGGGCCGGGAGCCTCATCGCTGTAGATGCGCTGGGTTGGCCCGCCCTCCTCCCCTCTGCTCTGCTCAAGCCTCTGAGGGAGGCTGGGGGCCTGGGCCCGATGGGGGAACCTGGGCTGAGGCGGGACCGCGGTGTGCGCCCTGGCGTGTGCGGGCCACGGGCTGGTCAGAAGGCCAGTGTACCCTTAGGTAGAGCAACGTGGCCGAGCGCTCGAGCGTCTGGAAAGAGGCCCCCCGCCCCCTGCCCCTGCCCCCGCCCCATTCCGTCCTGAGTGGGCGGGCGTTCTCTTCACGAGCCAGGCGAGAGGACGCTTACTGGCTGGAGGGGAAGCGCGTGGCGCTGGAGGACAGGTACCGCGCCGACTTCCCCCGGCCGGAGCATCGCTTCCATGACTTCGACCACCGGGACCGGGGCCAGTACCAGGACCACGCGGCCGACAGGTCAGCGCCTCCCGCCTCCCGCGCCGTGAGCAGGCTGCTGGCCGGGGCTTGCAGGCAGCAGGCAGCCTCGGGCCACTGGGGAGTGTGTGAGCCTGGCCAGCGCTCACCGGGCACGTGCCCACGGCTGCCCACCTCCCTCGCAGCCCGAGCCCCTGCAGAGTCCTGGGCGGGCCGACTGGAGACGGAGACCCCCCTGCCCGCTGGGTTGCCTCGTCTGCCCTCCCGCCCCCTGCTGCCCGGCTCGGTTCCGTCCTTGTCTTGGCGGGGCTCCTGTGGGTGGTGTCCTGAGCCCCGTGCCCGTCGCTGGCTCCTCCATGTGAGCCGTCAGGATGGAGAGCGGGCGGGGGGGGCGAGCAGCTGTTGGAGGAGTTGTGCGCGGGTGCTGGTGCGGTCGTGTTGATGGACGCCCGTCGGGGTCCCAGCGCTGGGCCTCGAGCCGGGAGCCGGCCGCGCCTCCCACACACCTCGTCCACGGGCGCAGAGCCAGGCCCGCCCACCAGCTTCACTCTTGCAGGAGGGAAAGCGCCAGGCCAGTGATGGGCGAGCGAGACGGGCAGGTGAGTGGGAGCCCGGGGCCGGGCCTGCGGTGGGGAGGAGGCAGGAGTGCGCAGGAGGCCGGCCCTCGCCTCTTGCCCGTGGGCGTGCAGGTCCCTGCGCTGCCGCTTGCCTGGGGGCTCCCGGTCGCAGTACTCGGGTGGCCCGTCAGGTGGCCCTGGGGACCGTCCCTCTGTCGGGAACAAGTCTGCAGAGGGAGGCGTGGCTCAAAGTGCTCTCGGCCCCGTCCCAAGTGAGCGCCCAGCAGCTGCCGGGGCGGGGCGGCCGAGCCGGGGCGGCCAGGGGGCTCCGGACGGCTGCACCTGCGTGCTGCCTAGGGCCTGGCCGGGAGCGGCTCGGTGAGCCTGGCCCTGCCCGCCTTGCAGCACTACCCAGAGGACCGCCACGGCCACGGCGGGCCCCAGAGCGCCACAGCCGGACTCGCGGGACGGCTGGGGGGGCTACAGCTCGGACAAGAGGATGAGCGAAGGCCGGGGGCTGCCGCCTCCCCCCAGGTAGGCGGGCGGGCGGGCCTGCTGCTGTGGAGGGGCAGGGGCAGGCCGTGCTGTCCCGGGTGCCTGCGGGAAGGGACGGTGGCGGCGGGCAGGGTCTGCGCGGCCCCAGGGTGCACACTCACTTGCCATGGTTACCTCGCACGGCACGGGGGAGATCCACTTAGCCTGGGCCAGCGCTGCGCCGGAGCGGCTAGCCGCCGTACCCGTCTAGGCACCAGGTCAGGTCCCGGCGGCTCCGCTTCTGGTCCAGCTCCCTGCTAATGGCCTGGTGGGCAGCGGAGGACGGCCCGATGTCGGAGCCCTGGCCGCCCACGTTGGAGATCTCGTGGCTCAGGCCTCCTGGTGCCCAGGCAGCGCTGGCTCATGGTTTGGTTCCATCTGCCGCCGGCCAGGGTCTGTGCTGACCGCTGGTGTCCGGAGGCGCGCCCCCGGCTGGGTGCACCACGCCGCCCATGGGCGCGCCCCGCCCGTGCGCCTGCTCTGTTGGCACAGTGGGCGGCCGGGACTGGGGCAGCACCACCAGCGACTGCAGGAGCCCCCGGCACGCGCCTGGCAGGGCGCGCGACGAGGGCGTGCCCGCGCGGGACGCCAGGTGGCCAGGTACTGTGGGGGGCGGCCCCCGCCGCGCAGGGCTCCCCGGGAGCAGAGCAGCGTGTGCCAATGCCACCCTCCCCCAGGTGCGAGAGGCCTGACGGGGCCCTCGGGGCCCGCGCACGCGAGTCGGGGCTGAGCGGCGGGTAGTAGTGGGGCGCCCCGCGCCCTGGGGGCGGCGGGGGCGGGCTTTGCACCTGCTGGAGACAGCGCGTGCCTCTGTCCTAGCGAGGCGGCTTCCCCAAGGCGGGCACTCCCGGGCCCGTGGTGCCCGGGGGCGGACTGTACGTGCGGAGTGGCCGGCCAGGACCGGGCAAGCAGAGTCCCGCACCCACACCCCACCCGCACCCGCACCCGTACCCCCACTTCACCCGCCGCTACTGACGGCGCGCACGGCGCGGGCTCAGGTAGGCGGCGCCTGTCGCACGGTCCAGGTTACCCGGAACTGTGTGGTCTTCTGCCGACGCCTTGTAGCTCCAGACAATGTAACTCCCTTCTTTTTCTTTCTTTTTTAAATAAATTTGTTTCCTTCGCCATTTTTAAGACGAGGTTTCTGTTAAGGAGGCATTCCGTTTTCCGTGAATAAAGTTTGGTTTGCACTCGGCTGGTGGGTCTGTGCATAGCACGGGGCTGCCTCCAGGGGGCGCCTCCGCTGGCGGCGAGGGGCCGCAGGTGTGTGCGGGTGGCACCCGTGTAGCCGCGCGGCGGCGCCGGCCCTGGGCGCTGTCACCTGTGCAGGTGGCCGCTGGCTGGGGCCGGGCTCCGCCGGGGCCGTCCCAAGGGTGGAGCTCGGGTGGGGCGCTGTGGCCCGTCTCCTGCCCGCGCGGTGGTGCGGCCCCTCGGCAGGACGGCACCGGGCGCCCCTCCCGTCGCCGCCGGGGTGCACAGCCCTGCTGGGGCCGGCAGGGGGCGCCGGGTCCCGCGGAGGTGGCCGCGGCTCCATTCCTCCGCGCGGCTGCCCTGGCGGGTAGGACCGCGCCTTCCACCTTCCACCGGTTTCTGACCTGCAGCTTGTTGCTCTGTGTTGTCTGAAAGAGAAGCTCACCCTCAATGCCGCCGCAGCCCGGAGCCGGGAACCCCAGTCTGGGCCTCCCCCCCCGTGGGGCCCCGCCTCCCAGGACCTGCGTCCGCACGGAGGGCACTGCGGCGGGGGGTGGGGCAATCCGGCACGCCCCGCACCCCCCACTTGCTTTCCTTTCCTTAAGATGGCGGGTCGGACCGGCAACAGCCCTCCACCCCGCGGGTGTGGGATGCTGGTGCCGGAGGCAGCGTACCCCCCCCCCGGGGCGGGGCACAGGGCGTCTCCGGAGTCCCAGCATGCACCTGCAGGACCGGGACTGGCGGGGACGGAGAAAAGACCCCCGTGTCCTCCCGGCCCACCCCCCGGTCCCGGAGTCCCCCGCCCGGCAGTAAGTCCTCCGGGGAGCCGCGCCCACGCGGGGCCCTTCCGCCCACGGAGGGCCGCTCTGGTCCCGTCGGGGTGGGGGGGGCTGTCTCCCTGCAGAGCGTGGGGGAGGGGGCAGCGGCCCTCCGGGGCCCACCAGCCGGCGTGCTCCGGGGCCGAGCGCGGAGACCCTTTCCTCCCAAACTTGCCGGCCTGGGGCCCGACTCTGCCCGGCTCGGCGGGGCGGCTTTGCTGTTCCGTGACGGAGCGCGGGCTGGCCGCGGCTCCTCTTGGTCAGTTGGAGAAGCTTCCGCCCGCCGGTCTGGGTCACTCCCCAGACACTGCACCAGCCAGGGCTGGGCCAGGCGGGAGAGCCTTGGCCGTCACTCACCGGCTGTCCACCGGCTGCCCCCGGGAGCGCGCAGATCCGGGTGCGCGGCGGCCCGCTTGGCCACAGCGCCGGCGCCTTGCCGCAGGGCCCGTCCAGGCCCCTCGCAGCGCCCGCCTGGCTTGGAGATGCCGCCCTCCGCCTCCCTCGCCGGCTGGCTGGACACCCGGCGGGGTTCCAGGAGTGAC